GAATCTTTTGGGTTTTTTAGATATAAGATCATATTGTCAGCAAAGAGCGATAGTTTAACCTGTTCTTTCCCTATTTGGATACCATTTATATCTATCTCTTGCCTGATTGCTCTGGCTAGAATTTCCAGAACTCTGTTGAATAAAAGTGGTGACAGTGAATAACTTTGTCTAGTTCCAGTTCTAAGTGGGAATGTTCTCAGTTTCTCCCCATTCAGTATGATGTTGGCTGTGGGTTTGCTATATATGGCTTTTATATTTGGAGGTATGTTCCATCTATAACTATTTTATTTAGAGTTTTTAATCATAAAAGGGTGATAATTTTGTTGAATGCTTTTTCTGCCTCTATTGAGATGATCCTATAAACTTTGTTTTTGCTTCTGTTTACATGATGAACCACATTTATGGATTTACATATGTTGAACAATCCATGCATCCCTGGGATGAAGCCCACTTGGTCATAGTGGATTATTTTTTTGATGTGCTGCTGAATTCAGCTTGCTAGAATTTTATTGAGGATTTTTGCATCTACATTCATAAGGGATATTGGTCTACAGTTTTCTTTTATTGTTGTGTCTCTTCCTGGCTTTGGTATCAAGGCAACACTGGCTTCATAAAATGACTTGCAGAGAATTTCTTCCTTCTTGATGTTATGAAATAATTTCTGCAGTATGGATACCACTTCTTCTTTGCAGGTCTGATGAAATGTGCCTGTGAAGCTGTCTGGTCTGGGACTTTTTTTGTTGGAAGATTTTTTTATTGCTGCTTCAATTTCATTGCTCGTAATTGGTGTATTCAGGAGTTCAATTTCCACATGTAGATGATGGAAACAGGATCCATATCTCTCACCACTCAAAAAAATTAATTCAAGATGGATAATATAATTAAATATAAGACATGAAACCATAAGCATTCCAGAAGTAAATGTTGGAAACACTCTTCTAGATATCAGTTGAGGCAAAGAATTTATGAAGAAGATCCTAAGGGCAATCATGGCAACAACAAAAATAAATAAATAGGACTTGATCAAATTTAAAGCTTCTGCACAGTGAAGGAAACAATCAACAGAGCAAACAGACAACTTACAGAATGAGGAAAAAATATTTGCATGCTATACATCTGATAAAGGGCTAATAACCATAAACTCAAGCAAATCAGCAAGAAAAAAAAGTCACCCAGTCTTAGGGAGGTGGCGAGTATTTTGGAGGGGAAGGGCATAACTCTAACCCTTCTTAGGCAGAGGCAAAGATATACAATGTAACCAAAATGTCAAAAAAAATCAAAACAAACTTTTTATCAGGTGGTGGGTAGGCGGTAGGGGGGAGGAGGAAAGGGGTGTATGTTTCCATAATGTGTGTAATGCATACCACCGGGGGATTGGACACATCGGGGGAGGGGGGGCAGGGGCAGTATGTGTAACCCTATTTGTACCTCCATAATATGATGAAATAAATTTAAAAGAAAGAAAAAAAGTCAAACAACCCCATTAAAATGTGGATGAAAGACATGAACAGGAGCTTTTCAAAAGAAGATAGACTAATGGCCAATAAACATGAAAAAATGTTCAACATCACTAATCATCAGAGAAATGCAAATCAAAACCACAATGAGATATCACCTAATCCCAGTGAGAATGGCTTTTATCAAAATGTCCCAAGACATTAGATGCAGGTGTGGATGTGGAGAGAAAAGGACATTTATACACTGTTGGTGTGACTGCATAGTATGCAACCTCTATGGAAAATAGTATGGAGATTCCTCAAAGAACTAAAAGTAGACCTACCATTTGATCCAGCAATTCCACTATTGAGTATTTACTCAAAGGAAAACAAGTCATTTTATCAAAAAGACACTTATACTAAGATGTTTATTGCAGCAAAATTTGTAATCATGAAGATATGAAATCAACCCAAGTGCCCATCAATTCATAAGTGGATTAATAAAATGTGGTATGTGTACACTATGGAGTACTACTCAGCCATAAAAAATGAATTAATACCTTTTACAACAATCTGGATGGAGCTGGAGACCATTCTCCTAAGTGAAATATCACAAGAATGGAAAAACAAATACCACATGTACTCACTTTTGAATTGGAACTAACCAATCAGAACTTGTACACAGATGGAAGTAATACTCTACAGAAATCATGTAGGTGGGAGGGTGGAGGGAAGGGATAGGTGAAATCATACCTAATGGGTACAATGTACAGTATCTGCGTGATGGGCACAGTTATAACTCTCACTCAAGCAGTACAAATGTAACTCATGTAACCAAAACATTTGTACACCTGTAATACTTTGAAATAAAATAATAATAATAATAAAATGAAAGCTAGACTGAGAAACAAAAACAAAGAAACAAAAAGTTTATATTGATGGGTTAATAAAAATATTGTGATCAGAGGCTCACAGGAACCTAATCCTGTATTTCCTCTAGAAGCAATAGTTTAGTCTTTACTAATTCAGTGTTTATGACAACTCTATAAAAAACAACTCCTGAAAATAACAAAAATTGACTGCATCCGAAGACACCATTGTACAAGACTTTATTAATTGCCTGTTTAATGTCAGATATTCTTTGATTCAAAATTGGGAAATTAAAGAAAGACCTTGAATACCAAATTTTAAACTGATGGGAATTTTTATGAGGAAGTCATAAGGGCTGGAATCAAATATTTATAATGGAAGTCCTTACAAACCCTAAGTCTCCCAGGCAAATGACATCAATCTAATCTCACTTGTGCTGAGCAGAATCCAGAGTCATTATTTTTTTACTTGAAACATGATGTGTTTCTGGGTGGAAAGAAAGAAATAAGGGTAGAAATTTAAATAATTTTAGCTTACCACATTTTTTAAAATTTTCACAAGGTGTACTGCTATGTATGACTCAAATTTGTCAGAAATGGTGAACTGTTAAGTTTAAGTTGTGCTAATAAAAATGTATAAGATCCCTAACTATCACTCTTGTAAGTTCTCACATAAAAGCTTAATTTATTCCAATAAATTAATTTATTAAACATAGAAAGGGCATATTAAGACACTACTGTAAAATAACTTTTTAAATAATAAGTAAAACTATGACACAGAAAGTTTTGACCTTTCACTGCTGGCTTCATTCTTTTATGGTAAATCTAAAAATTACTTCAAGGAAATCTTATTTCTTTCATTTATAATCATAATTTTTTTAACAGAAAGTGCTATTTAAAAATGTTTGATGAGCTCCTTTCTCTGAAATTCAAGTTATATCAGAAGTGCTTGTTTTTCCAATAATAATGAATCCGCAATAATTTATGTTTTGGTGACTTTCTTTTTTTTATAAAAAAGCAATGATTCTTAGGTAACTTGTCAAAAGATATTTTGATTTTGAGACAAGTCCTGAGCTATTATATTAATTTGTGAGAAAAGGTTGGTTTATCTTTCACACTGAGTATTATTCCTAAAAGCTTTGTAGTTTGAAAATCTACTCTGGAAGAATCCTAAATGCTATGATAGATTATTAATTGAGGCAACATTTTATTTAATGCTTCAGTTGTATAATGTTATTATAAGCACTTATAGATGGCATTGAAATGGTTGCTGGGTATGTATTTTCTCTAAGTCTTACAGTAACTGTAGACAATAAATATTACTATTCTCATTTTACTGATGAAGGCACTAAGGTTCATAAGGCCTAAATATGTTGCTGAAGAGTTATTGAAAACTAATATAGGTTGTAAAAGAAAAATAATTAAATGTAAGTCTACGAAAACATTCAAACTCGTTACTTTTTTCTACTTTCTAAATTGATGTATGAATAAAATCATAAGCTAATATTTACTTTTTAAAACATAACTTGCAATGACAAACATGGCATAGAACAGAGTATTTCTAATTGATTGATCACTGACTGAGGGTTGAAGAAACCAATATAAAGAATCATTAGCCATTCTTATTTAGGTAAGCAACTTATCACAAATGTCTTATTATTCTGTTATTTTCTGCCCAGATATTTTCTATCATGAGGTACCAATGCAACACAGGAGAACATTTGTATTAGAACTTCATGACACTCATTTGAACCCACTGGCTGCTTTTAAGTTGGATTTGTTCACCTTTGACAGGTTGAAAACTTAAATGCACTTTATTGATAGCATCTTACAAGGAATGGAAGTAAATTATAAATGATTGGTGTCAAAGAGTTTGTCTTTTGCAGAATCAAATAAACAGTATTTCTTCATAACCCACAGCCTCTCTAGCCCTTGTCACTTTAGAATTCTTATATTAATAGTACAAATTATATCTTTCTTCCACTTCCATCTTTCCACTCAATACAATAGCTGAATTTTTTAAGTTAAGATATAGCTCATATACCAGAAATTCATCCTTTGAAAGTATACAATTCAGTGGTTTTTGTATATTTATAAGGTTGTGCCACCATCACCACTATCTAATTCCGGAACATTTTCATCACTCAGAGGGAAACCCTACACCCATTAGCAGTTCTTCCCCATTCAGCCTCCTCCCTATCACCTGGCAAACACTAATCTACTTTCTGTCTCCATATATTTTCCTACTCTGGATATTTCATATAAATGAAACCATATAATACGCTTCCCTTTGTGTCTGGCTTCTTTCACTTAGCATGTTTCCATGGTTCGTCCACATTATAGCATGTATGAGTACTGCATTTCTTTTTATGGCTGGATAATAATCCATTATATGGATATATCATACTTTATTTATTTGTCAATACATACACATTTAGGTTGTTTCCATATTTGACTATTCTGAATAATGGTGCTATGAACGTTCCTGTACAAGTTCTTTGTGCATACAAAGGTATTTGTTTATCTTGTGTAGACAGTTTATGTCTTTCCTTTCATTTTTCATTGCTTTCCCCCCTTCACCCAGCTTCAGAAATGCCCAGAACAACAGGAACTCTTTAAAACCCTGAGCAAGCTTGACAAACACCCACTGGTACAGCTTCCTAAACCTGAACTACATTTGCCCATGTTTTCCCAGAGCCACCCATTGGACAGATGCATCCCCCACATGGCAGCGTCACCCCTCAGAAGAACAGCAACCTGCTTGTGATAATTGTAGTCACCGTTGGTGTCATCACAGTGCTGGTGGTGGCGATCGTGGCTGTGATTTGCACCCGACGCTCTTCAGCCCAGCAGAGAAAGTAGGTAACAGCTGGAGAGAAAAGAAGTCACTATTTTGGGGGGTTATGTTTTTGACAGCTCTCTTTCTGTGTTCTTTCATAACTCATCACATTTCCTTATCTCCTGACCCTGGTAAAACCTTACCTTTTGTCTATTTCAGGCCTACAATTAAGCAAGTGAGGGCTAAACTTGCAGATTTAATAACAAACAAAGCCACTTGGGACCCACTTGCATCTCTGTTTGCTTTTACTTTACCAGACTACTTCTCAGTTTCAAGTGAGGGCAGCTGTTCCTTAGGTAACACTTGGAGAATGGTCTTTACCACACCCTTGCTTATGACCCTTTCTGCAATCACATACAAAAGGTTGGAAATGTGTGTTCCTCTATAAATATTTATTTAGCACTTTTGACAAGGAGACCTGTAGGCAGTTAATCAATACTTGTTGAATGGAAGCCTAAATATAGGATACCAAACTCAATGCAGTTACAATCCTACGGAGTGTTTAGTTTGGAGGCAGTAGTTAAAGAAGATGTTACAGAAAGCTCAAACACTTGTCCTTGAGGATGCGTCAGAAAAATAAGAACAAGCGATTTGAGGAGAAAGAAAGAGAAGTTTATTACTTTGCTGGCAAAGGAGGAGGTCAGAGACTCCTGTCTGAAATCCCATTGTCCTAATAATAAACAGAAATGCAGAGCTTTTAAAGGATGGGTTCTCAGCTTCAGGCAATTACTGGCCAACTACAGCTGGTGATTCTGATCATCCCGTCCCCACTGAAGACAATCTTATGACCTCTGCCCAGGACCTCTGTTTAGCAGGTCTGGGCTGAGCCATCTCCTTTAGCACAAATAACGAAAGACTTACCCTATCCCTCCCAACCACTGGCCTGAGAAGGGATGCAGGTTTTAGTTCTCAAAAAGGAGTGGAGGATGTTTTAAAGAGACAGAAAATCTTTTTGCTATTGTTTTTCAGTCCATTCCCTATTATATACTACTCACTCTCAATATTACACTTCCATATCTATGGCAAGAGGGGCGACTACTCTGTTATAAAGAGGAAGTCCAGAGATTCAAAATGGTTCAAATAATCTGCCTAAGATTAATTGTCAGAGGTTAAAAGTTCAAATATTTTCATACGATGCAGCTTTAGATGCTAGCACATGCAGACAATGTTAGAAAGTACAAAGTTTAGAATGAAAAGGTGGTTTTAATCTAGCTTATCTCTTTACAGTAACATCCCATAACCAACATATTAACCTTGTGTCAGCCGTTTCTGGGAGTTAGCAATAATCTCCTGGCCATTCTCTGCCTCTTTGACTCTCTAGCCCTTTTCAAATCCAGTCTCATGTGTCTCTTTCAGCTACACTCTCTCACTAGGTTCACTGTCATAGGCTCTTCTTGTGAGTTTTTGTTTTTGTTGTTTTGGCCTTAGACATAGTGCTATCTCTGAAAGCCTGAGGCATGGGCCCATAGGTGGCTGGTTTGACAGCTATATACTGTACACATGGCTGGACAAAGATTATATAGCAAATAATTTCTCCACTTCCTTTGCTAATAGCTTAGACTTTCTATTTTAAAAAATCCTATAACTCTAGTTGTTGATCTCTAGAGTATTTTCCAGCACTCTAAAGTGAGATGTTTAGAAACAGCATAGGAGAAGAGGTCCATACTGAAGAAAGTGATATAGGGGTATAGACACAGCCTTTGTGTTAAATTTGTTTCTACAGGAGGGCAAATTTTATATTCAGCGGCATTTTTGAAGTTGGACTATTTGGAAGCTGATAAGAGCTGCTGTGCTGGCCTCAGGTTTCCAGTAAGAATCCTGATGGAATGAGCTTAACTGGGCCAGCCTCATGTGTAAGCACTGTGGGAAGTCGTAATGGCCCACAGAACTTCCAGAGGGCTAGACGCATAAATAAAGCTTTGGGTGAAAAGTAACTTGAGTAAGGCATTACTTGGTGCAGCATTCTCAAGAAAGGGGTTGTGCAAACATGGAATGGTAGAACATCAAGACAGCGGGTCTCTGAAGCAGGGCTTAGGATTTACATAAACAGAGGTGAAAGAGGCACCAAAATCACACTTCACTTAATTGTCTTTAAAACATTGGTGCAATCACTAAATTGAACTTAATTTAACTAAGCCAGCTATTGAGGGTTAGTTTTTCGATTTTTGTTATTTTTTTTGTCCCCATTCTCGTTACCGTGAGAAGAGTATTTGAGGGTTATATTGATCTGATCAACTGGATTCCTGGATATATGTTGTTTCTCCTCAGAGACAACACAAGTCTTCTCAAGGCCTAAAAGGGATTTGACAGCATGTTGAGAAACTCTCAAATCATCTTAAATCTTCTACCCTAAGCAATTTGGTAAAAGCTTAAGCCTTTCATTTAGAAAGAGTAGGACCCTGGGTATGACTAGTTTTTAAAATTAGGGAATGAATTAAAGAATAAATGATTCCTTGAATGACTGAAAACCAAAAGAAAATAAATTTATAGCTGTTTTCTTTGTTTTTTCTTCACCCCACCCTCAAAATCTTTTAATATTTATTTGGTTTTCCACACTTTGTTTCATACAACAGACTACCTGGCATTTATTTTGGTCTCTTTGTTTACATATATTAGGAGAGAAAGAGAAAAAGAAATTTTCTCCTTCAAGTTATTTCTGAGTTTTAATTTTGTTTGTCTTGAAGACCCTGAGCCCCCAAATCACCACCATTGAGCACTTTAGAACAAATTGAGTAATGCAGGTGAAAGCAAAATCAATTCCAATCTGAAACAGAAATAAAATCCTTTACAGGACTCTCAGAAAAATGGGAGTTTAATGTAATTAATAAGATGAAGTAGGAAACACATTCATGGACTTCTTGAATATCTCTGCCTGAAAGTACAGGAGAATGTAAATTTTTCTTGGTGTTTTGTTGGGGAAGTTGAATTATATCCAAGTGGATTAAAACATTTTTATGAACTATCAGTAATACCTTATTGAAGTTAGTGTCTATGTATTTTTTCCATTGGTTTATAGTGTTTTACAATTTATGTGCATGTGTGTATGTATTTAATAATGAGATAGGCTATCTGATTCACTGCCTAGTGGGTAAGATTTCATTTTTATGATGTAAACTAGCTAAAAAAAGTTAGAACCCAAGTTCTAATTCTGGTTCTACTACTTCTTTTATTAAACTAATTATATCCCCTAAGGGAAGACCCTTAATCTTTGGAGGGCAATTTCTTCAAATATAATGAGGAAATGGGACTAAATACTTTCTATCATCCCCTCTATCTTTAAAATATAGAAATTCCTCCATGGAATACTACTAAATTATGGATTCATATGGTAGCATTAGGTTTAAATTAATAGGAAATAAAAAATAATTTTCCATTTCTTTCTAATTATTTAATTTAAAATTTTTATGAGATTATAGTAGAATATTATAATATGGAAAAATTATATTATATTAAAATTATAAAATATTATAATAAAAATTATGAAAACTTCAAGTTGATGAAATTTTTTTCTGTATTTTTTAATAGGCAGTAAAATTTTCCTGGCCAACAAACTGATCACATGTTATAAGTTAAAATTTATTTGTAGATATCAAAGGTAAAATATTTGACATGGAGCATATTCAGGAAATCCAGTCCACAAGGTTATTACACTTCAAAGGAAGTTACCTGGATAGGTTATCAGCAATATTGTCTGAACACATTCAATTTATATATGTAAATGAATTGCAGAGTTCACTTGACAGAATTGCTTGCTGGTCAGCTGAGCCTTCTGTGTGATTTAACATTTGCACAGCAAGTTTTAAAGATTAGTACACATTCAAATCTTGACAAAGAATAATTATTTTCAGTACTGAGGATCAAATGTTTAAGCTCTTCAATGAAATCTACTGTATTTTAAGCTACCATAGGTCACTTTCACTGATTGTCAACTTTCTAACATTTTAATTGTTTTTCAGTATTTAGCTCATAGGGATTTTAACTGGCAATTACTTCAATATACTTTAATTCCAGTTCGTAAAATACAGATATATTTCAGCATCTAGAATTTGTCCTGGATACAAGTTTTTTGTTTGTTTGTTTGTTTGTTTGTTTGAATAGCAGTTAGTAGAATACAAATAATGAAGATAGACAATAAAAAGGCTTGAAACCTTGGGGAACTATTTGGTCAGAGAAAGAGGGGAAATATTTATACTTCCCGATATAACTTCTCCTAGTTAACTTGTAATCAATTCTTCACACTCACTTCAGGCTTCCTTACTTCCTAAAGCCTTTCCTAAACCCCTCGTGGGGCAGAATGTTTCTGCCTCCATCTCCATTAGATCTTGGGCATGTCTTTTAGCCACTGGAATTAGTACAAGCTGTCTATTTGTTTGCCTCCTATGATTGACTTTAGAAGAGGATACCTAAGCACATAGTGGGAACTAATTTATTACAATGTGGCAAAAGAATCTGTAAGATGATAGCAGTGTTTTAGAGCTTTAATGTAAGTTGCATAAAATGGACACTCGACCAAGGTTGGTTTTTACCCATTCCCATCTCCAACATACTGATTAAAAGTGGAAAAGAAAGAAACTCCCCTTAAAGTAATGGGTTATGTATAAAATAAGAAACAGGTGGACCAATAAAGAACCAGAGAAGAAGCTTTCAAAAAAATACTTTCATGTCAATAGTGGAAAATTCTTATTATTCAATTCAAATGATCATCACGTGCTCAGTATGTGATCTGCATCATAAAAAGGAACAAATCTGATTAATATTAACTCATGAGCTAAAAATCTTTCTGCAATGCCCTACTGACTTCTTGATATTATTAAAAGTGCTTCTGTTGGAGATAAAGCCTCCTATGATTTGGTCTCTTCTACTTTTTCAGCCTTACACCTGCCATGCTCCCATGCATGCTCCTTACTCCAGCGATGCAGAAACTCCCAAGAGCAACAACATTTTTATTCATTGACTAAGCTCCCAATGCCTTACTCATCTTTGTTTTGTAGTACTTAGCACATTTCTTGACACATAGTCAATGTGTCATAAATATTGACTGGATAAATAAATGACTGAATGCTGCAAAACAATGGATGATGTTAGAGAAGTGAAGGAAACAGAGTTTGCTGCAGTATCACTGGAGGAATTGCACTGTCACAGAGGGAGAAACTGGACAGCTCAGTAAGAGGGCAATTATTGCCAGGGTGTGTGGTATAGAGAGAGATGAAGGAAACAATTCAGATATGCTAAGATTGCGTTGACTTAAAATGGTCAGGAAGGATCGTTGAAGGAGAGGGAGAACCTTAAAGAATAAGTAGTTTGTAAGTAAATAGGATTGTGAAGCCATTCTGGGAAGAAGCTAAATAAATAAACAAACAAAACAAAAAATAGAACACTAGTACTTGATTATAATAGGAAAGCTGTGCCACGGTATGAGGAGAGAGCAGAGAGCCTTGAAGGATTCTTTGCTATGCCTTTATTCAAGAATACATGGGATAGGAAGACACTTTCCTGCTCTAAAGCTATTTCGGAAGCAGAAGGATTATTAGTAGCTGTGGGAAAAGATGTACTGAGTATTTGGAGAGGAGATAAACATGTGAAATATTCTATATCTAATAGAAAAACTAGCTTTAAAATAAAACAAAACAAATAATTCACTAAGTGCTTCTCAAACTTTAGGTGTATCAGAGTCACCCGGGGAGCTGTTAAAACACAGATCGCTCCCCACTTTCCCAGGTTTCTGATTCAGTAGCGCTGAGGGGGCCTGAAAATGGGCATTTCTAACCAGTTCCCAGGTGCTCCTGATGCCTCCGGTCCACAGACCACACTTTTGGAACCATTGCGCTGAGCGTCTACATCCAAATTGTGGAGACTCCAATGGTGAAACAGAGGAACTGTGAGCTACAATGAGCAGTAGTCATGTCAGCAACCAACAGATGGGCAGAAGGTCAGGGCGACAGCTGTTCCTGTAGGTTTTAAGACAAATTTCAGACAATTTAGTTAGGAGCATATGCCAGTTTTATTACAAACCTGCTGTGGTAGAGGTGAGGGTATTGGGATTGGCCTCTCCAAAGCCAAAGATTTCTCTCTTGATAAGAGACATTACAGGACACAAAAGTAGTTAGAAATTCATTAATCAAATATATACAAAAAGAAAATAAAATCTGTTTAGAGATCTTTAGATTCTTAAATGACAGCTAGGTGGGTGAGTAGCTTCTAGGAAGTGGTCTCAACATATTGAAACCCATCAGAAAAATATCCATGCATTTTATCAGGAATGATGATTTCTTCCCAGATGGAGGTTTTGAATCACAACACATAAAAAGTTCTGCCTTAGCCCAAGTTTGAAACTATTTTTAAAAGAGAAGACAGCTGGGAATGCATGGTACAGGAGTCATAGGGATTGGCAGATGAATGAATGAATAAAAAGGAATGGATATAATCAAGGGGAAACCAGAATTCATGATTTATTGCTGGTTTCAAAAATTGCTTGGCTAATACACAGACTATTTACATATTAAGTTATCATGAGGCATCTGACTGTGCTGTCCTGGATTTGGGAATTGGTGGTGTGGGAAGTCACATAGATGCTGGGGTTAAGTTATTTAGCATTTTGAACTGGTAGAGAGAAGGGAGTAATATGGTGAAGCCCCCCAGTTTGAGAATGACATTATGTTCTTCTATGAAGTTACCAAGGATAGATAATATAAAAAGCCATGTGTGAGTTGCAGATGCGTTTCCTGTGGGCACGTGAAGTGTACAGAAAAGAACTCAAGGAATGGATGGTTAGCACTGAGTTGTTTTAGACACAGGAAAGAGATCTAGGAGTTATGTCAGACCATTGTCTAGAAATGCTCCACAGCAGTGTGGAGCTGCAGGTAGTTATATTTTTTCTCTATAAAGCTACAAAATAGATTAAGTCTGTGGTTCTTTGTCTCCTGTCCTCATCAGCATGCTTCAGGAAAGTCAAAAAAGAAATATTATAGAAAATTCAACAAATCACACCACCAAACATTTATTAATTACCTAATATTTACAAAGCTGCTTATTCAGCAATTGGGAAATCAAAGCCACTCCCAATGGCTTTGCATAGGTTACAAAGTATTTTCACTGAGAGCAGCTTGTTTGAACTATTTAGCAACCATGGAATGCAGCTATCATAATAAAGTGTTCATTGCAAATTAGGGAAGTGGGAAGGAAGTGCTTCTCTGGACTTCCATCAAAGCTAGATTTTGACTATTTGCATTCTGTCTTACAGGAGACATTATTTTTAAAGAAATGGAAGTTACAATTAGAGATTTTTAAACATTATAAAAGCTGTAGAACAGGGGTCAAAAATAATTTCTGAAAAGGGCCAAATAATAAATACATTGTTTAGGATTTTCAAGCCATATGTTCTCTGTCATAACTATTCATTTCTGCCATTGCAATGCAAAAATGAATGAGTTTTAATAAAACTTTATTTACAAAACCAGGCTATGGGCAGATTTGGCTGGCTTGCAAGCCATAGTTTACTCACCCCCTGTTGTAGAGAATGGCTAGCATGAAGTATCATGCTACTTTACTTAGCATGCATGCAGGGAGCCTTTGAATCTCACTAGCCCCAAGAAGAGATTATCACCAACCCCCTCCCCCCAAAAAAAGACAAAAAAACCCAAAAAAATAAATCTATGGTTGCTTAATCCTTATTGAGGCAAACAAAAGACATATGCTTCACATTTTCAAACTGTGTTCTTCTCTTTTCCAAGGATGGGTCTCACTGTGTTTGAATCTAGATACTTAGTGACTCCAAGGCAAAAGTGTTTTATTCTCCGAAGAATGCCCTTTAGCGGCCTTTTGTTTTTGAATAGCAAGCTTCCCAATTGCACATTAAATTATACAGCTGAGGTATAGACTTTCTTTTAAGCCCCGATCTTAGCTGTTGGCACAAATTCTGCCCTTTTTATTTCCATTTGACCTTTTGACGCAACTCCTTCATTTATCTCCTAAACAGATGTTGCAGTCAGGTACCTTATGCCTAGCTCCAAAGATTGGCATATGGCTCCATCCAACCCATTGTCACCTTGCACATGAATCTGCAGCCAGTGAAGCTGGAGTGAGGAGCTCTCTGGCAGGCAGCCGAGGCCCTCGGGATTCAGCACCACATCTCCTATCATGCAGTGAAGCTCCAGGGGAGAAGAGGAAAGGCAGCCAAGAAGAGTCTGCCAATTCCTGGGTTTCACAGGGCTCCTCCTGGGAGTCCTTTTGTTTCCTCCCATGCTTCTAACTTGAATTGACTGAGGAAAGAGAAGGAAGTGCTGCTGAATAGAGGCTCTCACTTTTGCCTTCTAACTTTGTTCCATAGGAAACGGGCCACCCACAGCATTGGCAAAAGGAAAGGCAGCCAGAAGGACCTCCGACCCCCTGACCTTTGGATCCATCATGAAGAAATGGAGATGAAAAATATTGAGAAGCCATCGGGCACTGACCCCACAGGAAGGGACTCTCCCATTCAAAGTTGCCAAGATCTCACACCAGTCAGCCACAGCCAGTCAGAAACCCAACTGGGGAGCAAAAGCACCTCTCATTCAGGTAATTATCTGCACCCTGGCATCCTGGAACACGCCATTCTGAGCCCCACAGGAGAGTTTTCAACTCCTTCTTCTGCGGTGGTATCTTTTTCATCAGCTTGAATGTTGATATGGGTCATTATCAATAATTAAAATAATCCAATATAAAGGTAATTGATTAACCAGTTAAATGTCCTTCTTCTCCATTATCCTGACACTTGCGTTTCATAATTTTATTTGTTCTTGAAACTTCTGAGGGTTCAAAAGTAATACAGTTGGGAAATATTGAAATGTGGAGCCTAAATGAATTGAATGCGTTTTTGTTAAATCTTAGGCAAAAATATTTTTCAAGGCAATACAATTTGAAGCCAATATATTTTTAGTTCCCTATTTCTATAGATAATCAAAAGATGATTCCAAATCTGCTATCAGTTATTTATGTTAAAAAATCAGATAAGGAACACTTGAAGTATAAAAAAATCCAATATTCTGTTACTTTGAGTACCATCAAAATTAACTGTTGTCCCCATACAATTACATTATATGATCACCAGCCTGTCTTGATGGAATCTGTTTGAAAGCTATGTTGTTATGCAAAGGGATCTGAAGAGAAAAGCCCACTGTTCAATGAATTGGTTCAGAAAAATCACTGGTATCCAGAAATAACTAAGAACATTAGAAAGTGGTTATAAGATAGTTCACTTTTTGTGGGTCCTCATATTATCTAAGTGCTTATAGGAAATAGGATAATCAACCAAATACTCTGAAAAAATATCTTTGGTCTATTCATGATGTGATTATAGAAGGAGTAGCTGCTGTTTTTAAACTGAATTAAAATATTTTAGTTAGTTGAATGTGTGACTGGTTTGCTGTATTCTATCATCTCAGAATTGCATAAATAAGGAATTCGGTTTCTTATTTTCAACCATGGATTGTTGAATTTGTCTTTTCTAGCCTTTAAATGATATCTTAGGTAGATTCCCTAACTTCTCTGTCACTTTCAGTTATTTCTTTTTTCTTTCTTTCTTTTTAATCTATGGAAGCATATTGAAGAACTTTCAGTTATTAAAGGGCAGTCTAGTCCTGTTAAAATCTGTAATCTGAAATTTAATTAAAGAGTCTCCTTCCTTCTGTCCAGCTAGACTTCTGGCTCTGAGGTCTGGAGGGGTGTCACAATTTATTCTTTTTTTAAAAAAATTTTCCAGCACCTCAGAGTGGTGAGGTTGGGCAGAAGGATGGGGGGCACAGTCTTTTCCAGAAGCACCCTTGCATCTGTCCCTAGCTCTCCACTCTTCCTGGGTCTGTGGGGGAAGGGGGATGGGATGAAGAGGGGAGGGAGGAGGGAGGGAAGAAAGGACTGTTTCAAGTTCTTCACTGGTTTTCAGGACACGTGGTCTGGCCTCTGTGTTGTATCTGCATTCTGGGTCTCTTATGAAACACAAGTATGATTCTTTATGGGACCTTGTGGGATTCCTCCATTGCCCAGTTCCATGATGTGAGAAACCAAGTCAGGGCTTAACATCACCCCACCAGACATAGCTCACCCTGTTACCTCATGGGGTTTCTGGTGGGCCACAACATTTGGGAAAATTCCAGCAAGAGGACTCAAACATGACCAACTTTCCACATGTCCACTTGGCCTTAAGGAATCCCCTACATCCTTACCAGGCACAGTGGTGAGAGAACATGGGCTCCACCACCAGCCCTCCCTCAGGCCTGCTTTCTTCGACTACCTTTTCCTCTGCTTGGATGGACACAGGGTAGACCAGCAAGCCTGCTGCCTGAACAGGCTTCCACCTGGGGAAAGAATGAAAAACAGACCTCCTTTGCATGAACCTCTACATTTCACAGGTGATTCCTCTTGCAACTTTGTTCTTGACTCAGGAAGAGGAGAACAGCTGGAGGGAATAAAATTGCCTCTCTGCCCTCGAAAGGTTTTGCCAAATGACTTCTAGCACACCTCCTTCTTGCCTTTCCCTTCATATTTTACATAATGAGATGACATTTGGGGGCAGCCATACTAGTTTTGATGTCTCTTAACAAGTCCTGAGGGAAGGTTTAATCCCAAATGATGGTTGTTTTCTTTAGAATGAAAGAGTTTTTGTGGCAATTTGTCCTGAATTTGAGGATCTAGCTGCCAATTTTGTAGTAACAGAGAACATAGCCCTCAAAATCCCACAAGTTATACTTTACATTACATTGTGTTCATTGTGTTCTCCTGATTAAAAGAACAAAACTCAACATTAGTGAATAGCATTACCAAGAAGCATTATATTTAACAATGGAGTTTCTGAGTAGGCAATAACTTTGTAAGGAGAGATTACTCTATGTTAAATTCTGTGATTGGCACTTGTATACATTATCTTAATCCTCACAAAATACTTTGAGCTAGGTGCTGTCATTCTCTTCACATAATAAATGAAGCAACTAAAGTTAGGAAAGGTTAAGTAACATGCCTAGAGTTCAGAGCTAGTATCAGCCAGCCAGGACCAAAAGTCCATCTGACTCCAAAATTCATGTTTTGTTAATCCAATTTCAATTATTTTTTGTAGTACTTTTATATAAGTGCTTATCCCATTTTCTGCCCATGAAATTAGCTCTTTGGATAAAACTAGAAATTAATATGCAATATTTATACTTTAGCTATGGAAAAAAATTAAATTGAGCAATAGCTGAGTTAACAACAATAAAAATTTCATCAAGTGAAATTTACTTATTGCTTTTACCCATTCTTTCCTACTTCTAGTATTGAAGCTGCTTAGACAAAACTTACTTTATTCCCTAACCATCCAAATAGAATATCCTACTAAGATATCTAGGAATTAAGATGATAAAAGTCATTTCCTCTGTTACTTTGACACATCTTTTCTGTGTTTATTGCATTTCAAAATTGTCTTCTTTGCTTAACAATTTACAACAGAGAAAGGCAAGTGTTTAGGTCTATTTGATCTCCATGACTTATAAATAGAATTTGCTTTCTTGAAATGCATTTATCCTGTAGTATAATTCTACTACAACAAGACCATAGGACTGGTTTCTTACTTTCAGAATGAAAAAGTAAATTTCAACATTATGGCAGTTGGTGGTATTCAATTAAAAAAAAAAAAAAAAGATGTTCAATGAAGTGAATAACATTTTGAAATGACTACCTAGCACCTAATGGCCAATTTGACTGAATACTTACTTTTTATTAGCTTTTTTGAATTATTTACATGTTTATTAAATCTTTTATTTCAATTTCCCAACCCTGTTTGGACCAATGGTGAATAATGTCAGGTGGTCTCTGAAAGAGACAAACCACAAAGTGATACTACCAAAAAATTTTATACTCGAAAGGAGTAATAGAAAAACAATTTTGTTCAAAATCAAAACCATATACAGACAGACACCCAGTAATATCAAATGGCTTATTAGAAAACTGTTACCCTAGTTGAATCTAGAATTACTTTTTTTTGAGAATCGCATAAGATAGTGTTCTGATTTTTGCTTTCACTGTCAAACATAATTTTGAAAACTAAAATGGAGAAAGGGCTATTGTATTTAATGGATACTATTACTCTTTCTGTTGTTTATTCTTCCTTTTTAATTATGCAAGATTTATTTTTATTATTTCCTGTTTATAGAGAAATTCCTTTGGCTATTTTTTGAGGGTTAATCTGCTAGAGACAAATTCTCTTTGTTTACCTTCACTGGGGAGTGACTTAATTTCACCTTCATTCTTGAAGTATATCTTGGCTAGATATTGTTAATCCAACTCTGGGTTGAAAGTTCGTCTTCAGTACTTAAAGAATGTGTGTCACTTCTGGCCTCTTTGTTTTCTGATGAGAAATACGTTGTCATTCTAATTGTTTTACCCCTATAAAAAGGTTGTTTTCTTCTCACTACTTTTAAGATTTTGTTGTGGATGTTGTCTTTAATTTTCAGAAGTTGAACTATCATGTGTCTGGCATGAATTTCTTGAGTTTTATCCTGTTTGGGGTTTACTAAATTTCTTGAATCTATAGATTCATGTCTTTTGCCAAATTTGGGAAATTTTCAATATTGAAATATTGAAATATATTGAATCTTTTCAATATTTTCAATCTTTTCAATATTTTTCAGCCCTACACCCTTTTTTCTCTTTTATTGTCATTTTAGACACTAAATTTTTTACAGAAAAGAATCTCTTTCTTTTTGTTTTGCTCCAAAAATGATGCTTTTCTGATGTTACCACTTTAAAACCCACATACTTTTAAATGTTCTGGTCTCCTAAAAAACGTCTTCAATATTTTTACAATTGGGCTGTACTTTCTATTTTGTGGATGATTTTTAATCAGTCTTGGGATCTTTATTCCTTTCTTCTCTCTTCTTTACAGTTTTCTCAGACATTCTGCTTTCCAGAAACATTTTGTTGCTGTTGCTTTAGCAATAGCTTTGCTAGAAAGTATTATTTATTTTTGTACTTACAGGAAATTTGAATTTGTCCTGTTTTCTGGTTTTGGGTCATGCTGGATCCAAAAGGATTTGCATAGTTGTATTTTGTATTTGTTTTATATGGTCCTGTACTTTCTCAGGATGTGTGGACAGAGTGAGATTTAGGCAGCTACCATTATCTTGCCCATGTGGAAGCTTCTCCCCGCATTATTTTTAATTTTAAACTTTATTAACTATGATGTTAATTTTAAAAAACAGTGAATGCATGTGATAAAAAAACAAGAAAAAAGTACAAAAAATGATGAAAATAGGACTCCAAATAGTAAAAAGTGTGTTTGCCTCTTCTCCATCCCAAATTCCTAATCCCTTTCACAAAAGAAAAGCAATGTTAAAAATTGCGCATCTAATCTTCTTACACAGATATAATATAAATTACATATACATATACATATATACATGCATATATATTTACAATGTACCTGTGCACAGTATGCTTTTATATGTATATTACACAAATGGACACATATGATCCACACTATTCAGAACTTTTATTTTTTTCTTAACATGTATTGTTACCATTTAAATATGCATGTCATTTTTATTCTTATTTTTAATAACTTTTTAGTATGATATTTAATGGAATCATAAACTTATATAAATGTGCCCATTGTTATTTTTGAAGAATATAATTTATTTCCTACCATTTTTGTAATAAGATTTAATGTCTTTGGGCCTAATGTATTAGTTTTATAAATTGTAGTAAATCAATAGAATGAAAGATTACGTAGCTGTTAAAAATTATATTACTGACATTAATTGACAGAGAAAAGAACTTTGTGTTATTTTTTAAGCCTGTTACAAATTAGTGTATATGGCGTAATGCCATTTTTGAAAGATAAATATATTAGTATATACCCTCCACTTTCACGCATTCATACACATGCAAAAATTATAAGCATCAAAATTTAAATAGCAGTTTACTCTGGGTAATGAGGTTACACCTAATTTTATTAATATTTGTACAAAGAAGTTGTCTAATTTGGATAATAAGAAATAAATATTATCATTTAAAATATTTGTGAGACTAAAAAGGCATTTGAATGCCTGGCTGGAAATTACATAACATGCAGCATCATTGAAGAAGGGGTGTTGCTCAGGAGTATGTTTTCTTTTTTAGGTCAGGACACTGAGGAAGCAGGGAGCTCCATGTCCACCCTGGAGAGGTCACTGGCTGCACGCAGAGCCACCCGGGCCAAGCTCATGATCCCCATGGACGCACAGTCCAACAATCCTGGTGAGTCAAGTTTGGGACCACAGTTTCATTCTTTCAATGAAGGAATGAAATGCTTTCTGTTTGCATCTTTTCTATAAAATATCACATTATCAAAAATAATTAGAGTTTTCCTTGAACTTTCTGGGCAAATGGAAATAACAAAGAATAACTAAAACCGTATCATTTGTAATTAGAAGTCAGAGTGCTCCCTCTGTTGTCCAATTTTTTTTTTTTTTTTGCATACAATCTAATGGTCTGTCTGTTGGCAAACAGATGGCTATGTATTTAAGAAATTGTAAAAAATATGAATTTATATAAAAAGCTGAAATTTCTGTTAGTCTTATTAATCTTATTCTAACAATCATCTTATAGTTTTTGTTTGTTTGTTTGTTTTTTATTTTTTGATAGGTCCACTTTTCACTTTTAAATAACCTAGCTCCCTTGAAAGCAGGTGTTGTCAGATACCCACTTAACTAGCCCCTCCTGTTGAAGTTTTCTGTCATCCTCCCACATTCACTGAAGATATTAGTGTCTGGGGATCACTTCCTTTCCAATTATCTCTATGATCAATCTTAGTAATTACAGTATTCATGAAGATAATCCATCTGATACCCTGGACTGTTAGTTCCTTTATGTTACCTGCAATGATATTGGTTCTTTCCCACCCCATTTCATAATTCCGTGTCATATCAAACCAATGCAAAATGTCACTTTCTATCATGCCTCTTTCTATCACCTTATTAGTTTCCTGCTCACTTATTTTATTTCCCCCTTGCCAACAATTCTTCAATACCACGAGGACCTCCAAAGCATTAACTCTGCTGCCTTCCTGCCATCCTTCATCCCCCTCATGTCCTCATTTCCCTCCAAACTCAACTTAGGATCCATAGTCATTTGTTATCTTTAGTCTCATCTCCCTTTCCTTCCCCATCTTACTCACCTAAAAAAAATCTCAACCCTGCTAAAATCAGCAGCTCCACCAATTCCTAACCGCTCAGTGCATCTGGAGACAAACTTATAACCTACTTACTAAGTATTTAGGACAATATATCCAAGGTGTGTTCTCATCTATTTGGAAATGCCACTACATTTCTCTAGTGCTTCATTGTTTCACTTTATAAAATGAATGTCTTATATTTATTCTTACTTTTCAAACTTCAATGCCTCTCTTCTTTCCCTACTCTTAGCTCATAATCTTTCTTCTTATATCACCAAGAAACGAGAAGCATTCAGGAAATAGGATCCTATTCTTCCATTAAATCTAGTTGATCTGTGTGTGCTCCTGAGGATCTTGTTGCCATCCCTTCTCACCCACTTAGGGGCTCCTCTTCTGTAATTACCTCTTTGCTTTCCTGCACCAGCAGTATGGAAGTAACTTCCATACTGATCACTGCAACAAGCATACGAACAATTAGCATTCCATCATAACTCCTGTTTTAAAAGATACTTGACACCACTGCCCTACCCAACTAAAGCCCCATTTCTCCTTTTCACTGGAACATGTAAAAAGCTGTCTATACTTACCTTCTCCTATTTCTGATCTTTCTTATTGTTCGTAAAAAGATATTTACAGTCCCTCTCCACTGAAACCATGGTTGTCAAGGTTATCAATAGTCTCCACATTATCACATCAAATGGTTAAATCTCAGACTCTCAGCAAGATTTGGCATAGACTCTTACCTTTTTCCTGAAACACTTCCTTCTCTTGGCTTGTAGTATCCTAAATGCCTGGTTTTCTTCCTACCTCACTGGCTGCTCCTCCTCATTATCCATCACTTATTTCTCTTCTTCTTTGTGATCTCTAACAGTTAGAGAATGCCCCAGAGCTCAGTCTTCAGACTTCCTCTCTTTTCTGTCTACACTAGCATCTTATCTTTCATCATCCAGTACCGAAGGCCTTAGTGCTGTCTCATGCTGATGACTCTCAGCTGATTCTCCAGCCTGATTCTCTTCCCAGAATCCACACCCATGTCTATACTGTCAATCCAGCTTCTCCAAATGGCTAACAGCCACGTCAGCTACATTCAAACCAGAAACCTTGCCTTTCCATAATTTCCTTCCACTACCTGTAAACTTGATCATTTTGCTATTTTTCTTATTCAATAATTCCTGCTTTCAAAACATGCCCCAAATTTGACCACTGTCTTCCATCTTTACTGTTTTGCTCTTATCCAAGCCACCACCATCTCTTGCCAATGACTAGACTACAGCTATGAGATTGTAACTAGTCTATTTTCTTTAGCCCTTGCCCCTACACAGCAGTCTTTTAATATGAATTAGATCATGTTACTCCTCTGTGATTTTCCACCACATGTGGAACAAAATCCAATAAATGTACCATGTGCTACAAGGACCCATGTCATCCTGCCTCTGAGCTGAACCCTCACTTCTCCTTCTACTCCTTTCTATAATCCATTACAGCCATGTAGCCCTCTTCTCTGTTCCTTGGATAATAGGCACATCTCAATTCAGGGACTCTGCACTTGCTGTTTTCTTTGACTGAAATCTTTTTGTAGATATTTACACGGCTTATCCCTCATTTCAATCAGGTCTTCATTCAACTGCTATCTTCATAAACAGCCTACCCTGACCATTGCCCAACATAACATCTCTGGTTGCTCTCTACCTCTTTATTCTTTGTTGTTTTATCTTTGTTACTGCATATCACTATCTCACCTGTTTATTTTCGCATTTATTTATTATTATTTGCTTCCTATATTTTAATATCATCTCTACAAGAGCACGGATTTTGCCTATTTTTATTATTTGCATGCCCCAATAACCAGAACAGTGCCTGGCATGTAGTATGCATTCAATCAAAGCAATTTAGTCAAATAAATGAATTTTTATTTAATTTTTTTATTTTAGCATATTATGGGGGTACAAGTGTTAAGGTTACATATATTGCCCATGCCCCCCTCCCCCCTTGAGTAAGAGCTTCAAGCATGTCCGTCCCCCGAACGTTGCACATCGTACTCATTGTGGTTGTATATACCCATCCCTTCCTCCCCCATCCCACCCTCCTGACACCCGATAAATGTTACTCCTATATGTCCACTTAGGTGTTGCTCTATTAATACCAATTTGCTGGTGAGTATATGTGGTGCTTGTTTTTCCATTCTTGAGATACTTCACTGTATCAAGCTGGAACTTGATACAGGGTTCCAGCTGTATCCAGGAATATACAAGAGGTGCTATATCACCATTGTTTCTTAAAGCTGAGTAGTACTCCATGGTATACATATACCACATTTTATTAATCCACTCATGAATTGATGGGCACTTGGGTTGTTTCCACAGCTTTGCTGAATTGTGCTGCTATAAACATTTGAGTGCAGGTATCTTTTTCATAAAATGACTTTTGATCTTTTGGGTAGATGCCCAGTAGTGGGATTGCTGGATCAAATGGTAGATCTACTTGTATTGCTTTGAGGTATCTCCATATTGCTTTCCACAGAAGTTGAATTAGTTTGCAGTCCCACCAGCAGTATAGGAGTGTTCCTCTCTCTCTGCATCCATGCCAGCATTTGTTGTTTGGGGACTTTTTGATAAAGGCCATTCTCACTGGAGTTAAGTGATATCTCATTGTGGTTTTGATTTGCATTTCCCTGATGATTAGAGATGTTGAGCATTTTTTCATATGTTTGTTGGCCATTATTCTATCTTCTTTTGAGAAGTTTCTGTTCATGTCCTTTGCCCATTTTTTGATAGACTCAATTCCCTTCAAAATAGTAACAAAGAAAATAAAGTACCTTAGAATATATTTAACTAAGGAGGTAAAAGACCTCTACAGGGAGAACTATGAAACACTGAAGAAGGAAATAGTAGAGGACGTAAACATATGGAAGAATATACCATGCTCATGGGTATGCAGAATCAACATTGTTAAAATGTCTATACTACCCAAGGTGACCTACAGAGTCAACGCAATCCCTATCAAAATACCATCATCATTTTTCACAGATATAGAAAAAATAATTTTACGCTTCATATGGAACCAGAGAAGACCCCGTATAGCAAAATCAATCCTAGGCAATAAAAACAAAATAGGAGGTATCAATTTACCAGACTTCAAACTATACTACAAAGCTATAATCATTAAAACAGCTTTTTACTGGCACAAGAACAGGGACATTGACCAGTGGAATAGAACAGAGAACCCAGATATAAAACCATCCTCATATAGCCAACTAATCTTTGACAAAGCAGACAAAAACATACACTTGGGAAAAGAATCCTTATTCAATAAATGGTGCTGGGAAAACTGGATAGCCACATGTAGAAGACTAAACAAGACCCACACCTTTCACCTCTCACAAAAATCAACTCACGCTGGGTAACAGACTTGAACCTTAGGTGTGAAACTATTAGAATTCTAGAGGAAAATGTTGGAAATACTCTTTTAGACATTGGCCTAGGCAAAGAATTTATGAAGAAGACCCCAAAGGCAATCACAACAGCAACAAAAATAAACAAATGGGACCTGATCAAATTAAACAGCTTCTGCACAGCCAAAGAAACTGTCAAGAGAGCAAACAGACAACCCACAGAATGGGAGAAAATTTTCGCAAGCTACACATCTGATAAAGGGCTGATAACTAAAATCTATTTAGAACTCAGGAAAATCAGCATGAATGAATTAATAGTTGTTTCTTTTTACTTATAACATGCCATGGTCTCCCTATGCTCCGGTACATTTTCTCTCAATTTTACTAGAATAAGTATAAAAACTTACACTTTACAATGAATGTCAACTGTTCAAACCATGGAGTAGACACTATTATTATGCCCCTCATTATAATGTTCTCTCATTTACTGCTGAGAGAACTAAGGCTTGGAGAGTTAAAGTAACTAGCTAGCAGCCACACAGCCAGCACATGGTCGACCTAGAATTTGGACTCAGAAGGTCTAATTTCGAAGTTCTGTGCTCTTAATCATTATGCTCCCAGCTATAATACTCTGGGAAGCTATTGTCCTTTTTCTTTTATGTCTTTCACTGCATAGGGAGATACTATGCACTT